TTACTCTAACATTGCTTTTCTGCGTCACTATCCTCACCCCTCTAACATTACTATCCTGTCTCACTATCCTCACCCTTCTTACTCTCCCATTACTATCCTGCCTCGCTATCATCACCCTCCTTACTCTAACATTACTATTCTGCCTCACTATCCTCACCCTCCTTACTCTAATATTACTATCCTGCCTGACTATCCTCACCCTTCTTACTCTAACGTTACTATCCTGCCTCACTATCCTCTTCCTTCTTACTCTAACATTACTATTCTGCCTCAATATCCTCACCCTCCTTACTCTAACATTACTATCCCTCCTTACTCTAACATTACTATCCGGCCTCACTATCCTCACCCTCCCTACTCTAACATTACTATCCTGACTCACTATCCTCACCCTCCTTACTCTAATATTACTATACTGCCTGACTATCCTCACCCTTCTTACTCTAACGTTACTATCCTGCCTCACTATCCTCTTCCTTCTTACTCTAACATTACTATTCTGCCTCAATATCCTCACCCTCCTTACTCTAACATTACTATCCCTCCTTACTCTAACATTACTATCCGGCCTCACTATCCTCACCCGCCCAACTCTAACATTCCTATCCTGCCTCGCTATCATCAGCCTCCTTACTCTAACATTACTTTTCTGCGTCACTATCCTCACCCTTCTTACTCTCCCATTACTATCCTGCCTCCCTATCCTCACCCTTCTTACTCTAACATTACTATTCTGCCTCAATATCCTCACCCTCCTTACTCTAACATTATTATTCTGCCTCACTATCCTCACCCTTCTTACTCTAACGTTACTATCCTGCCTCACTATCCTCAACCTCCTTACTCTAAAATTACTATCCTGCCTCACTATCCTCTTCCTTCTTACTCTAACATTACTATTCTGCCTCACTATCCTCCCCCTCCTTCCTCTAATATTACTATCCTGCCTGACTATCCTCCCCCTTCTTACTCTAACATTACTATCCTGCCTGACTATCCTCACCCTTCTTACTCTACCGTTACTATCCTGCCTCACTATCCTCTCCCTCCTTACTCTAATATTACTATCCTGCCTGACTATCCTCCCCCTTCTTACTCTAACGTTACTATCCTGCCTCACTATCCTCTTCCTTCTTACTCTAACATTACTATTCTGCCTCACTATCCTCCCCCTCCTTCCTCTAATATTACTATCCTGCCTGACTATCCTCACCCTTCTTACTCTAACGTTACTACCCTGCCTCACTATCCTCTTCCTTCTTACTCTAACATTACTATTCTGCCTCACTATCCTCCCCCTCCTTCCTCTAATATTACTATCCTGCCTGACTATCCTCACCCTCCTTCCTCTAACATTACTATTCTGCCTCACTATCCTCACCCTCCTTTCTCTAACATTACTATCCTGCCTCGCTATCCTCACCCTCCTTACTCTAATATTACTATACTGCCTGACTATCCTCACCCTTCTTACTCTACCGTTACTATCCTGCCTCACTATCCTCTTCCTTCTTACTCTAACATTACTATTCTGCCTCAATATCCTCACCCTCCTTACTCTAACATTAATATCCTGCCTAACTATCCTCACCCTCCTTACTCTAACATTAATATCCTGCCTAACTATCCTCAACCTCCTTACTCTAACATTACTATCCTGCCTCACTATCCTCACCCTCCTTACTCTAAACTTACTATCCTGCCTCACTATCTTCACCCTCCTTACTCTAACATTACTATCCTGGCTCCTTATTTTACATCTACTATTAATATGAAAAATGTAATAACAGATCGTCTTTTTAAGGACCTTTGTTTTCATTTCTAAGACATACTCCTTATCAGCCAAAACATATACTGAAAAAAATGATTGATACATTATTTTCAGTCATGTGCACACAAAGGGGCAGGATGTTCAGCAGACATGTTTGCAGGCACGTAGTAACACCTATGTCCTTAAATATCAACCGAGACAGACTCGGCAAACAATATGACGTGAAACAATCAAGTATTGCATATTGCTATTATACTAAAATGAATACCGTATTCAGGAAGTCTAATTGCTGCAGAGTAGCGTTTTTCAAGTCCGGGTTTAATGCTTACTTAATATCACAGGGATAGGCCAGTCAATATTTGTAAATCGAACAAAGATACATAATTAAACTTTAAAAAAAACTCACGTACATGTGCACTGCTTGATCACAGGTACTTAAGCCTCGTCTGTTAGTACCTGGGGCTTTATTGTTTGCAAGTTTGTTTTGTTGTTTTAAGTTAGTTAAATATTAAGTTAGATTGCAGGTTAGTATATATTGTGTTTCTTAATTCGGTTGTCGTTCGTTTTTCGTCGTTTGTTTTAATTCGTTCCTAAGGGAGTAAAACATATTTCTAATGACTGCGACCGACGATGTTATGAGCTTTATAAAGTATGTAAATAAATAACATCGTGCTAGCTCACATAAAATCATTTAATGATAGGACTCCTCGTTGGGTATACCGTATCACAGGGACCTGAGAATTTGTTACAACTATATTTGAACCTGGTTGAGGTCCAAATATAGCTGTTACAAATTCTCAGGTCCCTGTGTACCGTATGTCAGGATTTCCTCGACCGTTTTAAACAATAATCGCAATTTTGCGTCATTGAAGACGAAAGCCGAATGGTATTTTTTGTTTAATTGAACATTTTGCCTGTGATCAGTTAAAAGGTCTGTGGCTTGGAATTGTTTATTGAAAATTGGAAAAGGGAACTTAACCGTCCCGGAGCCAAAAATTGTGTTTCTGAAGGTAACAAACTACGAACGTACCGGTTATTTAAGTTTAATTATGAGTTAGAAAAATATAATATGTTAGTAATGCCTAAATCACATCGTAGTGCGCTAGCTAAGTTTAGGTGTGGGGTTGCACCGATACGCATCGAAACATGCCGGTATGAGAGAATACCTTTGAGTGAAAGAAAGTGTTTCGCGTGTAAAAGCGTGGTAGAAACAGAGAGTCATGTTTTAATAGAATGTAACTTGTATGATGATCTCCGATCGGGTCTATTGCAGGAGGCTAGTAAAATCACAAGTGATTTTTACAATATGAGTAAAGATGAAAAGTTAGTTGAAATTCTAAGCAACTCTTACTTGGCGAGGTCCTGTGCCAAAACATGTGTTAATATTCTTAATCGACGTCGCAACTTGATCTATAATTAAGCAGTAATGCGTCTTTTAATGTCAATTATTTTTATAATTTTATATTGGCAATTTTTTTAATTCACAAGTATGTACATATATGTTATACTTTTACAGTCTAAAATGATAGGGGAAGAGTGAGTGTCTCGTAAGTCTAATATAGACTGGATGTAAAGGCGGGTGAGTAGACGTATTTTAGAGACTGTAATAATTGTACCTTTTACATGTGACACTATAATAAACTAACTAGAATTGAATTGAATGTACATGCCCTGTGATCAACATAACCACTTAACTGTATTGTTTACACGCGTATAAATCTCTGTCACCACAGGCAGTATATCGAGAGAAAGCTGGTGTGCAAACAATCTTTATTTGGAAGTGTAGTAAAACGATGGTAATCCGTTTTTAGAAATAAAAGTGTATACATGTGTATTAGCTTAAACCGATGACACATTTTACTAGAAAATATACATACCTAGCTCCTTGTTTAATTCTGCATTAAACCACAGGATGTATATAATAACTTTGTTCGTGATGACATATCAAATATCAGTCTTCCCTTCTGAGGAGCCTGAATAGGTAAAAACGCTCGGAATTAATATGTTCAAACTTTCATTCATGTTGTCTATAAAGATGTACGATAGGTAACTGTAACAATATATATTGACAATTGTGGTTGTGGTAAGCAATTGTGGTTGTGGTAAGCGTAGGACGTGAAATATACAATGGAAATTATTTCGTTTGTAAACCACATCACAAACATCGATTACTGAGTTTTGATCAGGCCCCAGGTTTTTCCATAAATATGATTTATTTTTTAGTTAAGTAATCATCTTTAGGAAACTTTCCATAGTTTCACTTAATACTTAAGGAATGTCTGTAAAACTGTTCCTAGAGAGAAAGACGGACGGACGGATGAGAAGAGTCGGATTGTTAGGAGATGCAAAATGGGTGCTACTAGACACTACCATATATATTGCAGTGAGACACTGACGAACATTACCGACACACTGTTGTATCCGACCATATGAGTCAATCCCCTGTGACGTCAATCCCCTGTGACGTCAATAAACGGAAATCCCATTGTAAGCTATAATTATGGATATGGTGAAAAAAACTTAATAAGATTGGAAAACTTGTGTGTCCAATCCCCCTTTTTTTATAAGTACATGTATTTGCAAATACAATACGTTTAAACTTCAAAAGGGAATCAGAATAGGACCATCTTTGTTTAAAAAATAAAAACCAACAAAAACCATTATTTCGATATAAGAGCAAGGACTCGGAATCCGAAATGATGTGTATAGTTGTATGCCCGCATCGTAATGAAATCACGGGTCGGGTTGTGGAGAGGTGTAGGGTTGAGTGAGATGAACTGCCGTGATGACTAGATACATTTTAATTAGAATTTCGATAAACCTGTTAATTTGTTTTCATTCTGGGGAACTTAATTAAGTCGTCTATTGTACTGTGAGTCATCCTCATTTACATACGTAGGTGTGTAACCAGGAATAACCGTAGTGGTTCGGAATTCTATTAGTGTTAAATAATAAGATGGAGTTCAATAATGAAGTGTCAGGTTGTGGCTACATGTATTTACACCCAACGTACCTGTATGTATACCTGCATATATCAACCAGGAAGATAAGTAAACTATAAAAAAAAAAACATGACCGTGATCAAGCTATTCTGGTCCGTATTTATTTATCCTATTAGAGGTAGGCACCTGTTAAAATCTACCTAAGAGCCGACCCGTTCCCGGGAAAGAGATATCCGGCTATTTTATGACGACCTTGTCACGTCATCGATATACACACCCATACCGGTATATCCCAAAACTCTTACCTATATAAATACAAATCCTTGTCATAATCTTTATTCTAAAACCGTTCAAGTTTATGCAAGAACGATAGAAAGTTGTACAGAAAAAAATCAGTAGCATTGACAATGGAAAAAATACTGTTGATATTTTTGGTTTTGTGTAAGTTTTTCATTTTATCGCACAGTTTGTTCTGGAGTACGGGTAAGGTAAGGAAATATTATCTGGCTGCTGTTGAAGAGGACTGGGATTACGCTCCTGACGGATTCAATCTTGTGACGGATGATATCAGGTAGTTATATATCTTTTCATCCATGTTTTTTTCTCTCTCCTTTATAGCATCCCAGATCCCGCCCGACTTCTTTGTCACATGTAGATAGCTAACATGAATTATCATGTCACCATATCTGTTATTACTTAGTTTGAAAGTATGTCATTGCTTCTAAATCCAAGCAAGAGGATTGGGCACAAGTTATGATAACCTATAAAAGCCCCTTATTCAATAATTGTACTACAACAATGTGATAGACCTATATGTACATTTTTATACCATAAAGCGAATTTTTTAATTACTTTGTATTGTAATTATATTATATGTAATATTGTTCTATATAAACAATCACAAAATATAGCAGCTATTGACTTCAATTTTCTCGAGATTAGATTTATCTTCATTTTCACATAGTTCGGTTTTCTTACTCTCCTGCATTGATATGAATTTTTTAACTCAGGTTGAAACCAATTTTAAGCTATTTATTTATTTGTTTATTTATTTATTTGTTTATTTATTTATTTGTTTATTTGGTTTTTGCATAGTTATATTCTTTCTTTTTGTGTGATAATTATTTTTATTGCAAACATTTTTTTCTTTGATTTGTTTTTCTTTCACACAAATGTTTCTGACAAAAAAAATATGCTGAGGCAGAGACGTATAATACGTCCCTGGCTGAGGTAACTAAAGACTTTTCTTCAGTTTTAAGTATTATTTGGTATACCAGAGGCAGACACCAAATACAATTGGAACAAGTATTTACCTCCAGTATGCGATTTAACTCATATATTATACATAAAAAACACGCTTTAATTACGTTGATACACATATATACACCCATTCATTTTTTTACAGCTTACTAAAGTTATATCTTACGGTTAAATAAGAATTTATTTGTACAGTTTAGTTTAAATTAGCTCATGCAAAGTTCTGAAGAGAAGTTCTAGAATAACAAGTAATAGATTCCAACTTTCTTTGGACACAATACATATGTAGCGAATTAGTGTCGAAATATTATCAACTTTCATGACATATATGCGGAATATTCATTTATCAGAAAATTGAAATCCAAAAAATCCTCTGATTTTAAAGAAAGACCGTATTCTAACACACAATAAAAATAAAACACGTGCTTTTGGCTAGCATAGAAATCCCATCAGCACGGATTTACTTCTTCCGTCTCATTTACGGAAATTTACCAAAGTGAGAAATATTTATTACTAGTTGCATTCTAAAGTTGTTATGGTGTGGACATTCAAATATAAAATGAAATGCATTTTCATTTCCTTGTCCATATCTACATGCTGGTGTGTCATTCAGATGATCCATATATAAGTCACTATTTAGGTTGCTAGCATGATTTCTCAGCTGACAAATTATGATATTGAATTTTCTTGGCCCGTAGTATTAAATGTGCTAGCGATTTCTTCAGTGTTGTTTATATTATCAGACTTGGTGAAATTTTTAAATTGTTGAAAGGAAGAGGCATTTAAAGATTTTAAAGAAAGACCATATTCTAACACAAAATTAAAATAAAGCACGTGCCTTTGGCTAGCATAGAATCCCATCAGCACGGATTTTTTTCTTCCGTCTCATTTACGGAAAGGGACGACGCGTACGGTTCCCGAATTCATCGGATATGTCACTCGGCTAACCTCGGCTGATTCCGGTACCGTAGGTATGGAATCATTAAGAAAAAAAACTACACATTATCCCGGATTTATCAAAGTCACACCAGAATTTCAAGTAGACTATTGACCATGTTTAGAGATTATCATAACCAACAGATGATAGACTCTGATATCCGGTTATGCCTTGAAGCATATTTAAATATTTATTGTATCTTTAATATCCTTAACGGTTCATTAACATCGAAAGGGTGTCCAGGGCGTCCAAACGATAGAAAATGGGTATAAGCTGTGGAGGTGTGTCGAGGGCGTTTGTATGTGACTTCAGTGGTAGGTTTTCCCTATTGATAGTTGATGGGCCTTCGTCAGCCCTCTTACTCACAATGATTCATACATTCAAATTGCAAAGACACGACTATTTGCTAATAGTAATCATTTTTAAGAATTTTCTCAGAACTGTGAATCAATGGCAAATTACATATATAGTGTACTATGGGTGGGCATGCGCAATCGGAAGTCGGAAACGAGTACTCGGAAATTGATTCAGTCTCGAAATATTCCGGAAACTTTTTTCATTATTAATCGAGGAATTTTGATTTAGAGCGATTAATATTCCTCTCTTTACGGCAACTAACAAGAACTATTCCAAACGATTTCCCCCTATGCCTACCCAGTGCGCTATCACGTGTGTATTGCTTTCATTATGCAAATTTTGTTTTAGTTATTCAGATGTGATATTTTAAAAATTAAATATGTTTCAATTTTCTGTGAAAATAAAAGCCGGATTTCGCTGATATATTTTCATGAAAATGAATAATTACTAAAAGAAACAAAAGTTATAAAAATTATTTAGATTCATTCACAATCAGAAAAATTGAGAAACGATATTCAGGTAAAGGGTTATGCTCTCTATCGAATATTTAAATATTCGGGAAAGAAGAAAAAGTAGTAAATTAGATCACTTGTATTGGAGATATAAATTTGTACAAACTGGTTCCAGAAGAGTGGGAGAGGGTGCAAACATATTCAAATTGCGAACGACTATAATTCTGTAGAATATATTGCAAAATGTAATTTTTATAAAATACTTTGAGGAGAATGACGAAAAATGCATCTCGTCATGATGATCATATTCCTGGCGAGGCGATGACATTCGTACATTTCATAAATTAAAATGCAGACAAATCGACCGTAATCACGCCCACTAGCTCCATGTAGCAGGGCGCCCCCTGTTATGACACGTTTAACGAAGAATTCTCAGTAGATGAAGCATTAATTACTGGAGACGAGAAGTATGACACATTAATTAGTTAATGAGTGATTCACTTGTCACCTTACGACAAACATGAACGTTGTATTTTAATGTTTTTTTAAAACAACACTATAAAACGAATTCATTTCATGCTTGACCTTTACAGCCAATGTGTGGTTAATTCGAATTCATAAACATGAGTCATTATTTACATCTTATTATCAAGTTAATCATAATTCTGTACATGTAGTTGCAAAATGAGATATGTACAATGTTTGTGCCGTCACTGTGTATTAGCAAATAGTTCAAAAACAAGTTGTGTAATGCAGTGTCAACTTTACCGACCAAATAAAATATATATTTTAAGTATCCAGGTTATTTAACAAATCATTGTGGATAACGCATATATACGTTATTGATTAATAAGTATACGTATTTAATTTATATCATTTTGAGCAAATCAAAATAAATATGTCGTCAAACTAAACAGCCTCTATACGAGTGTGGGATAATCAATGTGTTGTGAATTCAGAAAATAAATCTACTCGGATTTTCGAGTCAGACAAACCATGACACGAGTACTCAAGCAGATAGGCCTATCCAAATAGAAATAGAAATAAACTGTCATCGGACCAAAAGATGACGATAAACATGATATCTGGCTTATGTTAGTTAGATAGGGCGCTATATCAAATGTTGTATATTGTATTATTTTATTATTATATCTGATAAAACCACGGAATTAGATTATCTAAGTCCGTGATAAAAAAAACCAAATCCGTAAACCTATCTACAGACTGTCTAGAGGAGTTCCGAGTCAATCTATCTATAGACTGTACAGAGGGTTTCCGAGTGATTCTCCTGTAAACATTATCAAAACAAACGGCAAATATATATATTATAAACTTTGTATGACTTTTCTTATATTACTATACATTACGTCACATTGGATTAACATATTTTTTTTAAGAATTTGTGCGTGCTGTCATGAGTTATATTGGCTGTATGCCGATGTACGTATCACGGGAAAGACCCACATTCACGGTTTTTGGTAATGAATTTTGTAATGTATCGACTACATATATGTATATGGTTAGAAAGCTCCATAATGATCACGGACTTTTGATGAGGTTCATACGTGTAACCTGTCGTCGATTGTGTTTAATTTGGTTTTATTATGTTTAACGTCCCATTAATAGCTTATGTCATTTAAGGATGTGCATCCGTGTACATACACACATGCACGCATCCACAATGTGTGCTGGAGGCAGGGTTTGTTGGTTGTGATAGCGCGAATCTGATGCCGACTTTATAGTGCTATCTCGCTGAATTACCATGCTGCACGCACCCCGCACAGCATTCCGCCCGGTTACATTATACTGATAACGGGTGAACCAGTTGTTGCCATTAGGACAAGCTGAACGTTAAGCAGGGAAAAACAACTACCATTTTTAAGGACTTTGGTATGTCCCGGCCTCGGGACAGTACCCATTGCCTTCCTCACCTGGGCGGACGCTCATCATTAAAGCCAAAAGTGGGGTATTGCCAAGCAAGGCACTAGGAAATAGAAGGTAGTTAGAAGTAGAGAGAAATAGAAAGATCCCAACTATTGCAAATGGTGCAACAGATATATTTTGGTCGCTTTTGTGTCCTCAAGTAGAGGGAACAAAATCCCCAATTCTGCAAGGGGGTCACACATTAGTCGCCTCTTACTATACACAATAGGTGTATACGCATTTTTTTCTCGATCCCCGCGCTGGGGTAACCTGTGGTCGAGGTCTAGTAATTTGGGCTTTCACTTCTCTGACCAATCCATAGTAACTACATGTGCTTAGACATTTACTCTTCTCAACAAAGATATGCCCGTCTCACCGAAATGCTAATCTTTTAATTTTATTTGCAGTGTTGCGGTTACGAAGCTAAATCATAGCGATGACCGGATTGGATCAATTAACAAGAAAGTAGTATACAAACAGTTTACAGACGAAAGTTTCTTGGACGAAATTTACTCCCCTCCGTACATGGGCTACCTTGGGCCAATTATGCGAGCTGAGGTAGGCGATACGTTCGAAATTCACTTCAAGAACATGGCTTCCGGTCGAAATTACAGCGTACATCCTCATGGTGTTTTGTACAAGAAGGCCTCGGAAGGTAAAGAATTTTATGAATACAGATTTAAAAAAGGCAGATACTTTTGTCCCTTCTTTTATCTGTTATGTCTCTAAGTATCGCTGCTCACTTTCAATGTCACTGTTTTCATTGTTTTCTGTACATTTATTTATCAACACTCTTACTTTATTGTCTAATCCCTCTATAATACCGAAATTCTACTGGACATGTGTTGGCTAGAAACTATATATGATACACTTTATGAAAGATAATATTAATATATTAAACAATACGTGTAGCAAACGCTTTCAGTTCGATTTCAGTAAAATAGGTTTAATGAATTCGGCGAAAAAATAAATTTTAAAACATGCGTCACATAATTATTTGAAATGACACAGTGTCTTTATCAAAAGTAATGTCATCACTATTTCTATAAGTGTCTTCATCAATGGTAACGTCATCACTATTTCTATAAGTGTCTTCATCAATAGTAACGTCATCACTATTTCCATAAGTGTCTTCATCAATAGTAACGTCATCCCTATTTCTATAAGTGTTGTCATCAATAGTAACGGCATCACTATTTCTATAAGTGTCTTCATCAATGGTAACGTCATCACTATTTCTATACGTGTTGTCATCAATAGTAACGTCATCACTATTTCCATAAGTGTCTTCATCAATAGTAACGTTATCACTATTACTATAAGTGTCTTCATCAATAGTAACGTCATCACTATTTCTATAAGGGTATTCATCAATAGTAACGTCATCACTATTTCTATACGTGTTGTCATCAATAGTAACGTCATCACTATTTCCATAAGTGTCTTCATCAATAGTAACGTCATCCCTATTTCTATAAGTGTTGTCATCAATAGTAACGTCATCACTATTTCTATAAGGGTATTCATCAATAGTAACGTTATCACTATTACTATAAGTGTCTTCATCAATAGTAACGTCATCCCTATTTCTATAAGTGTTGTCATCAATAGTAACGGCATCACTATTTCTATAAGTGTCTTGATCAATAGTAACGTCATCACTATTTCTATCAGTGTATTCATCAATGGTAACGTCATCACTATTTCTATACGTGTTGTCATCAATAGTAACGTCATCACTATTTCTATCAGTGTATTGATCAATAGTAACGTCATCACTATTTCCATAAGTGTCTTCATCAATAGTAACGTTATCACTATTTCTATAAGTGTTGTCATGAATAGTAACGTCATCACTATTTCTATAAATGTATTCATCAATAGTAAAGACATAACTATTTCTATAATTGTCTTCATCAATAGTAACGTCATCATTATTTCTATCAGTGTATTCATCAATGGTAACGTCATCACTATTTCTATTAGTGTATTCATCAATAGTAACGTAATCACTATTATTCATCAATAGTAACGTCATCACTATTTCCATAAGTGTCTTCATCAATAGTAACGTCATCACTATTTCTATAAGTGTATTCATTGATAGTAACGTCATCACTATTTCTATAAGTGTCTTCATCAATAGTAACGTCATCACTATTTCTATAAGTGTCTTCATCAATAGTAACGTCATCACTATTTCTATAAGTGTATTCATCAATAGTAACGTAATCACTATTTCTATAAATGTAATCATCAATAGTAACGTCATCACTATTTCTATAAGTGTCTTCATAAATGTAACGTCAACACTATTTCTAGTAGCAATATCACCATTTGTAATAGAGTTGAAGGCCGTTTTCTGTTTTTAGATGTTGCTTAAATGTTTTGATCCCATGATTATTTCAACTCGTTGATTTGTTCATTGGATGACAACTAGGCAAAAAGTAGTTAGACTATTGGGTTAATAAAACATCCTGTAAAATACCGGATGTTGTACGTATTGCATGACCCGAACTGGCTTTACCACTATAGTTATTGAGATGGTCCGAATTAAGACTCATCAGGTATGTATTAAATATGTATATTCCAGGAGCTCTATATGTAGACGGTACCAACACCACGTTTAAATTAGACGACGGAGTGCCACCAGGGGGCAGTCACGTGTACACATGGGAAGTCTCAAGTAACTTCGGACCCACGAGATCTGACGAGAACTGCGTGTCATGGGCTTATCATTCACATGTGAGCTCTGTAAAGGACATAAACACAGGATTGGTTGGATGTCTTCTCACGTGCAAAAAAGGTACATGCACGCTCTAGAAACCAAAACTTCCGTCGTTTTGAAAGTATGACAGAAAGACTAAGATGTATATTCTGAATACATATTCTTTTTATCTATTTTTTTCCCAATGTATTATGATAGCATCGATACTACGTTACTAAAACCATTAGACCAATGTGTCCCTCCCCTGTGTTGATTAACACCCGATCGGGGCCGTCGGCACTTTCCCGAACAGTATTTTCTCGTTTACGGAAAGTGCCGACAGTCCCCAATTGGGTTAACACCATTTGAGACCGATTGCCTCTGTTAAAAAATATCAAGTCCTAGATAAAATTAGAGTTAAGGGTATATGCCATATCATATATCAGGCACATGATTTCTGTCAGAGTTATCTCCCCTAACAAAAATGCATCACACAGGTTTTATCTATGTGGAACTCTGCAGTCAAAATATTTCATGGATAACTTATGTCCTTAAATAAATAAACTATATTCTTTACGTAATAACTGAAGTGGTTGAGGCTCATTTTTCACCAATTTATTTCCAGGAGTGCTAAACAGTAATGGATTACGGAGAGACGTTGATAAAGATTTCGTAATTTACACTGAAATCGTGGATGAAAACGAAAGTTGGAAAATACAAGAAAACTTGAATAAATGTGGAAATGCGTCAAATTGCATTGAATTGTTGCAAACCAGAGATGCTAAATTTATTGAGAGTAACCGGATGCCCGCTATAAACGGTTACATGTTTGGAAATTTGCCAGATTTAACAGCGAAAGAAAATGACAGAGTCGCGTGGCATTTCATGGGTATGAACCAGGGTATGCGTGGTGTAACCATCAATGGTCAGACGTTCTCTTACCGCAGGAAAAGGTACATGCTTCAAACATACTAATTAATGGTGCTGAAAACGTAAACATAAACAAACGCAACACCAAAATGAATAACATCGAGTTCCCCGAAATGTATTTTACAAAGCGGTGTCTGTGTATTGGTTCTATTCTCATATCTCTTGTTAAGTAATGAATTTACACCCATGAATTACAAAATAACACAATTGCTTATTTCTATTCTTAGACTCGACACCATCAGCATTTTCCCTGCAACCTTTGTGTCTGCTTTTATGAAAGTTACCTCCCCTGGGAGATGGCTTCTCCAGTCGAGGACAACTAACGAATACGAAGGTGAGGATGATTTTTACATGATATCCATCAAAACTCCCTTTTTAGTATCCATAGTGACATGAGTTTCGATAAATTACCCGGTAGGTCTTCCTGATTTCACAGAATCACCGCGGTTCCTCTTTTCGCACACTGTTATTTGTGTTAGGTTAGAACTAACTCTAGTTACATTCTTTAAACTGGATTCGATTCGCTCATTGCATTTTGTCTAAAAGAGAATAGAAAACTGAGTCGAGAGTTTTGAAGCGATAATTGGTCAGTTTGAACATTGATAAAATGTTTTGTGAAGAGAGAAGTGTCCTAGAAGCAACATGACGGTTTTTTTTCTCTCACGAAATAATACGGAAAACATATTGCAAGGAACCTTGGAGAAATGAACACCGTTTGTTCCAGGCCTCCAGCAGGGTCTATAGTTACAGGTTCATCCGAGGAAAACCCTTTTCACGTCATGCTTATTATCATTTTGTTGATAACATTCAAATTAAACAAAGATAACTTGAATATGAACGGAAATAACAACCAATTTTAAATAACTTCCATTTGATTTTACAGGAGGTATGCAGGCTTTTTTTACTGTCGAGGAAAATTATAGTTACGGCTGGTTACATAAACGAAGGCGACCAAGGATAGACAGGAAGTTCTTTCTGGCTGCTGAGGAAATGGACTGGGATTATGGACCTTCGGGAACAAACACTATTGACGGCACAAACTTGACAGCCAATGGCAGGTGAGTTGAAGCGCCACCTAGTGACGACGCTGTATCAAGGTAGATTACTACCGGCTATTATAAGTGTTTATAAGGTCAGTCATGATATAGCGTTCTCTAGTACATCTTGATATACAGAAATATTAATTTCTAAATATATACAGTACATCATGGAAATATAGCACATGAAGTGTCAGATCAGAAGTAACCGAGAGAAGTACAGTTAAACCTTGCTATACTGCCTATATTTGTCTAGAGTAGTGTAGGCCTTATAAAAAAGGTTTAGCGATACAATGCGATAAACATATAAGGATTTTTTTAGAAAAATGAAATAAGGAGGCTTGAACTATGTTGGAAGTAAGCAAGGTGGTAAATGAAACGAAGGGCATTATATCGAAATTTCATTGTACAGCTGTATTTTTATTGAAAAAATAGCCCTGCGCATTTACAAAATGTATTCTATGTATTCTGTATTAAAAATTAAAAGATGCTTAATATCTTGAAAATGGAATTCCTTATGGTTAAGCGTTTTAGTAACGATTTCTTTTTCCTTTTCAGTTCCTCGAACCTGTATTTCAAGAAAGGACCAAATTTTATTGGCGGAATCTACAAAAAGGTCAGATACGTACAGTATACTGATTGCAAATTCCAAACAAAACTAAACCCCACTTCCGAATCGGAACACCTTGGCGTTCTAGGTCCAATGCTACGGGTTGCTGTGGGAGAAAAAGTACAAGTGACTTTCCGGAATCTAGCCTCCCGGAACTACTCCTTTTTACCACATGGTGTGCAGTTAGATAAAGATCAGGAGGGCGCTTTATACAGAGGGAGTCCCTTTTGTAAGTATTTGATCTGTGTTGCCTAGACGTTTTTTTCCACACACAAAAATGAGTGACATCGCTTTTCATTTTGCACTTTTTCTTTAACAGACATTTCAATAAAAGTTGAAAATATTGGTTACATTGAAATAAAATGACAAAACATTCACCAGTAAAATCGCTTTGTAAATAATGTCGTAGTGTCGTCCAAGGTTATATAATCACACAAATCTAATACCAATTGCATTCGAAGAAAGAAAAACACTTCTTTTCCATCACTAGGGAAGCTTGCATTCAGCATATAAAATAACGAATATAGAAAATAATGTCTGGGCGACTTATTTTTGGGGCAGTAAAATCTAAATTTGACTGTCTGATTTGCAATCGTCAATGAGTTCCCAAGACTATTAAAACAGAAATAAATAAGAATCATTGATAAAGAGTATGAATAATTATAAGATATATGGGACCATTTTAGTTAAAGTTTGTAAAAGATACAGAAGTAAATGTTTTCGGTGTCAACATAACCATAATACATGTAATGATAATATAATATAGGTTTCAATGATAACACCCATCGTCGCTTCTAGATCGTTAAAAATGCATTTTTCCCAAAAGTAATTTCATTCCGATTCTTTTTGTCCTTTTCCGTAGCAACCGATGTGACCGGTAAATTTGCCAGTCCTGGTGAAACTGTGACTTACACATTCACCGTGCCATGGTCAGTGTCTCCGGCGCGCGAGGACCCCGCGTGCAATACGTACGTGTATCATTCCGCCGTCGACCCAACCAAGGACGTACACTCGGGACTGGTGGGTCCCCTGTTGGTGTGTAAAGCAAGGAGTTTGGACAGACAAGGCAGACAGGTAGGATATATGCTGGACCTTCTCTTTAGTCTTTGGAAACAATGTTCGATCTAGAATAAAGGTCCGGTTAAATAAACTTTATTTATTTAACAACAATTATGAAACAAGTTTTTACAACTAATACCAATCACTCTTGTTGGCCCGAAATGTTAGCGCGGGGAGGGGGTTGTACTGTGGGAGGAAACCGGAGTAGCCGGAGAAAGGTCGGGCAGGTAACCCCATAACTTTTCATGTCCGATCGGGGAATCGAACCAAGGCCGCCTTGGTGAAAGGCAAGTGTGCTATCCACTGCGCCACCCGACCACCTAGTTCCGGTTGTTCAGTATCTACGATGTAATATTCATTTTCCGGGTGATTGAAACACTGAAGGTTGTTTGGTTTTATTTCAGTGTTTTATTTTTATGAAGCTATTTTGCCAAAATATTTGCTAGGGGTGAGGATTGTGAACAATGTCGTCAACCTAAACGATACATAGTACAGTTGACAACATCGTATATTCGAGTGCTGTGAATCACATTATTTTCGTGTTTTTCATGTAGATTTTTTTCAGCGAATATACTTGAGTTAACAATTAACAGAATGATATTTCGATAAAAAAAAGGATGTTTTTAATTAAAATTGGCGAAATAATATAATTTGCGACTGAGTCTCCTCGATAATTAACGCGAAAATCAATTTCTCCCGAAAATGTATTGAATACAGAGAGTTAACAAAATGTAGTATTCGTTTGTTAATAAAAACAGATGTTTCTTGTTTCTTACCATTTGTAAGACTAACAAGTAAATGTAACAATGTTTTTCTTATTTATTTTAGAAAATATCTGAAGTATTAGTTGTTATATCTTTAATATAAACTGTATTTCATTCCAAATTAAGTTGCATTACATCACATAACATACAAAGTACAGAGGACTGTTATATCTTTAGTTACTGTGTGTTGTATTGTCCGGAGGGGGCCTAGTAAGTTGAAACAACTTGTACCCAATCCCTTTGACGAGTTTCATCCTCTTTACAAACGTTCTCCTGTACAGTGGGCCATCTCTATACATAGTTAAAAGTTCTGAAATACAATTTCTTCACCTTGAACCCGTTCTACTCATTTGTATGCGTAGTCATGATCAGATGTGAGCTTCTGTTATTTTAAACTATTCAGAAACATGTGGACACAGATTTTGCGGTATTCTACCTGACGATTGACGAAAACAAATCCTGGTACCTGGATGACAACATCCGGGTACACACCGATGACCCAGCCAGCGTCAACAAAGCAGATCCGGCTTTCGTAGCGTCCAATAGGATGCATTGTAAGTCACTATACACTCACATCAACAGTTTAATAACATACAATTGTGAAATAGACATGAACACCCACCCGGAATCGCTTTGAAAATTTCCATTGAGTCATTTTATGACCGTAAATATATACAAATACATGTATCACCAGTGTTGGGCAAGGCTGTACTTAAAAATCGTTTACCTTTATTTTGGATTTATTTATCAAATTTCAGATTGTTTTAAAACTCAACTAGACCTTTAAAGAACGGAACAGCGCTCAAGACAAAATAATTCACTTTAATAAAATAATCTCCACTTTGGGTGCTTTTCTAAAACAAAACGCTCTTAAAAGATCTCAAATATTTATTATAACAACGACTTTAAAAGATTGAAAAAGCTATAATGTATGACATATTTAACTCGTTTCAGCAATCAACGGCCGAATGTATGGTAACCTACAAGGAATGGACATGTGTGTTGGCGATGACGTCACGTGGCATGTCGCTTCAGTGGGTGACTTTGTCAGTATGCATGGTACTTACTTTCGTGGCAACACAATGAAAATCGATGGGTCTAATAGGGCTTCAAGGATCGTCATACCAGGATCAAGTTATACTGGCGAAATGACTCCGGATAATCCAGGTATGACGTCATATTCTATTGTATAAGAGGCTATTTTTGGTTAGAGGCTATTGTGGTTTTGAGGCTTTTTATAATCAATGAGATTGAAGTGCTTTCAGATTCTGTTTTCATTTGATAATTTACACGTGAACTTACTGAAGGAGTACTAATATGTAAGATACCCGAGACATTGTTTTAATGGGCTGCCATTGGTTAAGGATATAAAAGGAATTTTGATATTTGCGACGGTGTATTATGATAATGCAGTTTTACTGGCAACGTAGTCATGACTTAATGTCGAAATAATTACAGCAAAAATTAAGCGTTATTAAGTTTTGAGATATATCGAAGGATACGTATAAAGGAATTGTTAAAAGAAATGAAAAGGGTACATTGAAAACGTTGTCAATGAATCGAGGCTTTATGCTAAAAGAGACATTATATCGAAGTTTACTGAAAATAAACCAGGGACCTTATATCGAAGTTTAAGTGTACATAAACCAGGGGCATTATATCGAGGTTTAAGTATACATAAACCAGGGACATTATATTGAGAATTTACTGTAAACAAACCAGGGACATTATATCGAAGTTTTACTGTAAACAAACCAGGGACATTATATTGGCAATTTACTGTAAACAAACCAGGGACATTATATTTAGGTTTAACTGTACACAATTCAGGGACATTTTATTTAGGTTTTACTGTACACAAACCAGGGACATTATATTGAGAATTTACTGTAAACAAACCAGGAACATTATATTGAGAATTTACTGTAAACAAACCAGGGACAATATATGGAAGTTTTACTGTTCACAAACCAGGGACATTATATCGATGTTTAAGTGTACATAAACCAGGGACATTATATCGAAGTTTAAGTGTACATAAACCAGGGACATTATATTGATAATTTACTGTAAACAAACCAGGGACATTATATCTAAGTTTTACTGTAAACAAACCAGGGACAATATATTGAAGTTTTACTGTACACAAACCAGGGACATTATATCGAAGTTTTAGTGAACATAAACGAGTGACATTGTATCGAGGTTTTGGTATCGATGACTTTCTTAATCAAGGAGTTTGTTATTCCCCGAGTAGTCGTTTCAGTTCCGATAGAATATTGTTCATCTGAAACTTCAATAACTTCCATTCATTTTAAAGTATTTTTTAACAAAATGTGATGTTGGTTATACAATGTCTGTGTATAGTCCATAGAAAGTGGTTTTACTACATGTAAACTACATGTAGAATTGGAATAAATAAGGTTTGATTTTTTAAATAGAAACTTAACATTAATGATTTGATTATTTTTCAGGAGACTGGGAGATTGTTTGTCGAACAAACTTTCACTTCCGTACTGGTATGCGTGTTCAGTATCACGTCAACGATTGCGGGTACAATGACGTCATCAGTGACGTTTACCGGGGAGGCACCACCAGACAATACTACATCGCAGCAGTTAACATTACTTGGGATTACGCTCCCGGAAATATGGACCTTATCACCGGTCATAACCTTAGCGACCCGAACATGTAAGAATATTTCTCTGACCCAATCGGGAACCGTCGTTACTTTCCGTAAACGAGAGAGCGCCGACGGCTCCCGATTGCATTCTGATTCCCAGGATATTTGTTTCACATCACATGATGAAATCTCGAGTTTTGATTGGTATATGGGTACTCTGAAGTAATAGATCGCAAGTTAGATAAAAGACAGAGAGTTCCAAAAGAAAGAATTTTTTGTTTTAAGCATCTGATGTCAACAGCATTTAGTATATGGTGTTTTCCTCTGTTATTAGTTTGTATAATTTAGCCCCATCCCTCACAGTGCGTTCCCTGTGTGTTTACGGCGTTAAAGGGATCTGACATTGTTGTAAAGGGATCTTTCAAAAGCAATATTGATATATAAGTACAGCATGCTGTTTTACTGGAAATTATTATTGTCTGAAATTCAAATTACTTTGTATTTGACACTATGTTGGAATAACTTGGCATATGGAAACGTAAATATCACCAACTCAGCTCAAGTCACTGTAAAATGTTCAATCTTTTGAAGTTCGGTTTTATCAAAAAAATCATGAAAATGTTTCCCTGTTTCTCTTACCAGCAACGGCCACCTTTACGTGAGGACTGATAACGGATTTCTGGGCAGTTCCCGACAGAAAGTTGTGTACCGAGAGTTTACCGATTCCACGTTCTCCACCATGAAGAATCGTACACCGGAAGAAGAGCATTTAGGAATTCTGGGACCAGTTATCAAAGCAGAAATTTCGGACACAATCAAAGTGACATTCCGTAACCTTGCCAGCCGTCCGTATTCCATACACGCACATGGTGTATTGTATGACAAAAATGACGAAGGGATATTAAACGGGGAACCAAGCAACGACGCAGAAAACTCTATTGATACAGGAACCGGAAATGGGGACCAGGTGTATCCTGGGAGAACGCATACCTACACGTGGCGAGTACCTCGGAGGGCGGGTCCGGCGAAAGACTACAGGGAGGCGAACTGCGTGACGTGGATATATTACTCTGGAGTGGACACCATTAAAGACATGAACACAGGTTTGGTCGGCCCTCTTGTTGTGTGCCGCCGCGGCGTTCTAACAGACGACGATATGAAACGACGCGATGTCGACCGAGAATTCGCCCTTCTATTTAACGTCATGGACGAAAACGAAAGTTGGTTGCTAACAGAAAATGTAGAAAAATACGGGTCAAACGAAACCAACGTCAATGATCCACAGTTCAAGCTAAGTAACCAAATGAACATGATAAATGGTAAAATATATGGAAACTTACACGGCTTGGTGATGGAGAAAGATGAGACAATTGCTTGGTATATTCTTGGGCTAGGATCATCGTTTGACATCCATACTGTACATTTCCATGGTCAAACTTTCCTTCATCGTGATAACGTTATTCATAGAGGGGATGTTATAGAGGTTTTTCCCGGAACTTACGAGACTGTGGAAATGCATACGGACAACCCGGGTGTGTGGATTCTTCATTGTCACCTGAACGACCATATAACACGGGGCATGGAGGCGACATACAATATCACCGAACGAACAACACACGGTAGGTTCATAAGCCGTCTAACAATATAACCGTTTTTTCGTGAGATATTAATTTTCACATTTATTCGTGTTTTCCACAACAACAATTGAGTTAACCCAATCAGTAGGTTCGTCTACTTTTCGTATGTGAACGTAAACCTTAGTAAAATGTATTAGGTGGAACAATTTTGACAATGTAGAAATTGTATTCTTTCAGTTTTGAATTCAATTATTCACCAATAAATTCTATAGCCATTGTTCTAAAAAAAAAAAAAACGAAACAAAGCAGACTATAGTATTTCACAAAGACAAGGATCATGAGACAGACTTGGAATTAAGCCGAAATTTCAGTTATTGATTACATTTTAATATGTGGATGTTTTTTTTTTATTCGTTCTACATTAACTCTTATTGTATTTTACAGGACACACGGGCTTCAATTGGCTGGGTTAAATGTTGATCCCTGTTACCATGGTGATGTTACACACGTGTCAGACCACCTTCAATGATTGCAGTGCGCATTTTTTTGCGATTTCGCTTCAGACTATTTATAAATAATGATTTTGATTATTGTAAAACAAAACCTCTTTGTTTGGATGTGATGGAATAGAAATCCACGGATGTTTTTATTTGATACTTTTCTTTACTCGTGATATACCGGATTCTTTAGCATATGTGCAATAATTAAAAGACACCGATCAGCATACGGCGAGAACCAAATCTCAAACAGCAATGGTGACTGGCGTTTTGGGAGTAAAAAGTTACCAAGATGCCTTCCTATGGCTAGATCATTTGATGGTACGATACTTCGCCTTCGTTTTCGTAAGAACTGTAGAAGTGCATACCTTCATCAAATGTAGGCTTGATTCGTCTGTATAGAACGACTTCATCAAATGTAGGCTTGATTCGTCTGTATAGAACGACTTCATCAAATGTAGGCTTGATTCGTCTGTATAGAACGACTTCAACAAGCTTAGATTAATATGTAATGAACGATTTTGAAAGCCCATATGTCCATACAAAAAATAGCGCCATTCCCTGAAAATTCATGTTGACGTACGTCATCGTGTGACGTTCAAAACCGGCGCCATGTTGACGTACGTAATCGTGTGACGTTCCAAACCGGCGCCATGTTGATGTAATTTAATATACGCCAAGAAGGATGACAAAGGGAGTTAAGGACCCCTGTGCCACAGCTGAGAACCTATTCATTGAATCAACAACAGTGTTCCGAAACACAGGGACCTGAGCATTTTTTACAGCTATATCTTGACCTAAACTAAGATGTTCAGAGTAATTTTAGACCTTTTAGGGGTTTATAGAAACTTTTCGGTACAAAAATGCCATTCGCAATGATAAGATATTATAAAGCTTTAACATATTCTCAGGTCCCTGTGTTCCGAAAGTGAAAATGCAACTAGGTCAGACCAGGATTCGAACCCTGGACCTCTGATTACTATACTTTCGCTTTAACCAACTGAGCTATTCCGTCTTTGCGTATTGCAGAGTTATCTTCTCTTGGGAGCAGGTATTGATTGTTACGTTATTGGTTTGTGTGAGAAAATTACGTCGTTTTCTCAAAAATTGATGACGTTACTCTCACAAACAAGTGACGTAACAATCAATACCTGCTCCCAAGAGAAGATAACTCTGCAATACGCAAAGACGGAATACCTGGTCAATGTTAGTACCTGGAGGTCACTGTACGTATATAAAACTACAGTTGTCTAGCTGTTTGCGTGCATTTAGTCTATAGCATTCCGAATTACAAGAACGAGGTTGTATGTTCATCATGGAACACACTTTCTAGCTCAGAATTATATATATATTGATCCAAAATGCAAATCCATTTATACATTTGAAATCCCTTTTAAGTACTTGTATTTACTGCTCTACTCAGATAAATGTACTTTGATTCATGTTTGTAAGTTGGACTGTGTGTTATTTATGAGTTATTTTATATAAAAAGTATTTTAAAAGTTTTTTGCTGTCGATTTCAGTTTATTTCATGTTTTGCCATTAATGATTATTTAGAATGTATGTATGTTGTCAATAAATTATTTTGAAGTCACTCATGTTGAAGTTCCATAACGCCTTACTGTGTTCACGTGCATCTGCCAAAGGGCCTATATTCGTTTGCCCATCCTCACAATTCCAGGGGGTGCGCTCCATTACGTTCTCTGTGTAGAGAAGAAAGCGCAACCAATGAAATCACATCCCAGCCAGGAAACCAATAGTGGATGTCGGAGGAAAAAAAGGAACAGTCTCCAAGAGCTAGAAGGGATTAATGCCAATTCTTCTTGATCTTTAGATACACGATACCAGCCAGATTGCTGCACAGTGGCCATGTTGCTCAAATCATGCCGACGCAGTCGTTTATTATTCCAGGCTCTGGTTGTTCAAAGAAAATATTAAAATATGAATACAGCAACATCAAGAACCCCTGATATTATTTCACGGCTATGGATTTGTTGAGCAAACATGGAATGAATCTAATCTTCCCCTACCTTGAGGTCGTGACAGAGAAATCTCCAAACCTCGGGATAATGTTCTCGAATGTCTTACCATCGGCTCCTTGAGGGTGTGACAGTGAAATCTCCAACCCTCGGGATATTGTTCTCGAATGTCTTACCCTCGGCTCTTTGAGGGTGTGACAGAGAAATCTCCAATCCGAGGGATGCTACTCTCGAATGTCTTACTCTCGGACAAGGTTGGAGATTTCTCTGTCACACCCTCAAGGAAGACGATAATTGTTTTTCTCCCATCCTGAATCGCTCACAAATCCGCTTTCAAGGAAAAACACATGTTTTCTTGCAAATCTAGAGTTGTCTTACATGGTCTGCTATTGTTGACGTGAAGTCAATGCATTGATAACGTGACGTCATGCTATTGTTATGACTTAGATCGCGTCTTTCTGCTCGAGGCTATCTCCCCCTAGGGGATGACAAACTGTTCTCCCATCCTTCACAGGTGTGTCTCCCGTTTTAGCCGGGAAAGATTAATAGAATCTCAACCCGAGGGGGAGGATTCTTAAGTTGCCAAACACGAGGCTTTGCCGAGTGTTTGGCAACTAAAGAATCTTTCCCCGAGAGTTGAGATTCCACTATCTCACCCACAAGGGGGTGAATGATTCTTTTTCTCTTACCCTGTTCTTTCATTGTGTATCATATGCACAATGTAATGATAACGTTACATGCTAAATTCAGGGTTGACGTGACGTTGATGGATTGTTGACGTGACGTCATTGTATTGTTAAAGTGACGTCATGCCATTGTTAGGAATAGGGGAATCCCCCCGTCTCAACCCTAGGGTGAGACAAGGAAATATCACACCGGTAAAAATGCGGATACACCTGTCCAGGGTAATAGAACAGCTTGTCACCCCCTAGGGGGAGATAGCCTCGTGCCGTTTAGCACGTGTTCAATTGTGACGTCATTAAAATGCGTCATTGGTAATTGTGACATCATCAAAAATGAATGACGATATGCATACCACACATGTGTTTTTGTTTACAAACATGGCAGACTACCGTCGGTGGAGCTGTGACTGAAATAGTAGGATGGGAGAAAAACAATCATCCCCTACCTTGAGGGTATAACAGAGAAATCTCCAACCCTTGGGGTGATTGTTTCGAGGGTAAGACAACCAAAAAACATCACCCCTCGGGTCGGAGATTTATCTGTCACACCCTCAAGGTAGGGGAAGATTCGATTAATCTCGCAAACCTCGGGATTATGTTCTCGAATGTCTTACCCTCGGCTCCTTTAGTCTGTTTTGTCTGCTCTTAATTCTCCATAATAGCATATCATGTGTTTCAAATAATTCTCAACAATAACACTTCATCTAAAACATGTTCTGAAAGCGGGGGATATGAATGCAACGAATTTGCTTGTTTTAAATCCAGTTTTCAGGTAATTCATGTCGTCGGAACATCGGAATATGACGCTTGTAATTTACAAATCAATTCTGTGTCTATTCTGCCTAGTTTCGTTTTATGTCACGGTAAACAGTGTCTCAAAGACAATAACTACTGTCCAATTCTTTACTCTCGTAATCGATGTAGCTTATTGATATTAAATTCAATATAGTATCCAGACAAGTTCAAGTCATACCCGTACACCACTTTCAAAGACTAGATCTGATATCAAAAGCTTTACATAAATACAAAATGTATGTCCATCGGTTACATAGTTCATTGATATGTTCGGTACAGGTATGAACAGTTTTGACATAAAGCGGAAATAAAGAGAAATGAGTCTTCTAACTCATCAGTAAGTGTAAGACATATCCGATTATTAAGAGCTCGTACACAACATTTTGCAGTAATATTACGGTAACGTTGAAAAGTACATTGTATTGTGTACTGGGCCAATAACAAACACAGCATGAGCTGAACAGTCTGTCAAATAATTTTTATTTCAGAGTATAAGGAAACATCGACTTGTTTGGCCATGTTTCAGTAACACTTTGGAAGACTTTTTACGTTTTGTTGTAAGACAAATACGACCAGCACATTTATACAGAAATAAGCTACAAACACCCTGTAATCTTAGAGACAAAAATAATACAGTTTACAATAACAGGCACGGGAATATTCAGATATCTAAACGAAGCATTTCGTAACAATTTTATTATATATGTATTAGGGGTGGGTATTGCAAGCAATTTTCATATTGCGATATTTAATGAATAATGCAATATATCACTATATTATATTCCTGAAATTTATTTTATTTATATTGTAGCCTCATATACAGTTCATTAATCATGATTCATATAGAAAATACGAAAAGTGATCATCCGCTCATCAAGCTTCAATAATAAATTGAAATAATAAGCAAGCTTAATTTGGATAATGTGGATTCAGTCTTACACTTCTAAAAATATCTCTGTAACATCATTTTATAACTCTTGAATGAATAGTTGTTGAATCATTTTGTAGTATACAGCTAACAGATTTCTATGTGAATATTACAATATCATTGCCCACCCCTAGTAAGTAAAACGACATGCTATGTATACGCTGTATATTCAGATTTACGGCAACCTCTCTTATCTTTTTGATTTGTGAATTATTTTTTACAGATATAAAGTAATGCATATTCATACCGATTTGGTTACACTGACAAACCACATGTAAGCCTGAGGCAAATTTTGTAGAATTATATCTCTGAACGAGAAAAGATATTGTTCAGATAATTATTACAAAGTAAGACATATATTCGTTATTTAGAAATAACAAAACAGAAAAGAAAATATGCGCAAAATCCTTAAGTTGTTTCTGAAGTGACTACCTTAGATACATGCACGCTCATAATCTCTGTTTCCGTTGAAATTCTTTCATTCCCATCAATAAACACTATCCCGATGTTATGACAGCGTCTTGTACGCGTCTATGGTAATATACAACTAAACTGTATCCCGAAAGATACAAGCCAAGCCCATTTCCATGGAAACGATACCATCCAATGTCCATAGCCACGTGTTTCTATCCATATCGCTACAGACACAAATAATTCCGGTCTTCACAGAAACAATATCGTCCCGTCTCCTTAGAAACATAACAGCTCTGTTTCCATTGCAACTCTATCATCCCGTCTCAATCGGACTTACACGACATTTCCATGGAAACAAATATCTTCTCAATCGAACGTCACCATCCCCGTCTCCATGGAAACATACTTGGAAACCATAAATCTCTTACAAGTGCATTAATACCATAAGAATGAGTACAGTCAAGTAACAAAATTGCGCGAAGAATTATACTGTATATCTATTGCAAGAAAGAAAGACTGACGGGGTCGCGAATGGCGTCATCCTTGTAATCATAACGTACTTATGACGTCACGGATCCCCGAACTGTTTCAGACTGTCACATGTTTACGCCTCGTTTCCAGTCTCCTCAGCTATGTCTAGAAAACAAAAAAATGTAGGAACATAAACATTCAAGGTTTTTCTAGATTGTTACTATTTTTTCAGGAATGATCTAAGTTAAGGGCAGTTATACCACAAAAGGGCCTTCGAATGGTTTACATTATCATGGACAGATAAGCCCTTTACAACTCTTATAAATATAGCATTGAGTCCCGATTTCGAATTCAAGAACAGATAAGTTACTACTTGTTATAAAAAAAAGAAGTGAACCGGAATATATTTCAATTTATTTTCAATTTAATGAAGATTTACTGATAGAAGCTTGCGGAAATTACAGACTTGTGATTATTAACCCAGAGATTATCGATAGTCTGGCCGGAGGTTGCTACAACAGAAGGTTTGACATTCAAGATTCTCATCCTCAGCCGATGTAATTTATCTGACATGTCATCACTGTAGGGGATACTTTTTCTATCCCATCTTATCAATAACATATTAAAAACAATGGATATCAGCATTTGCAATTTGTTTTCTCTCCTAATTTGCACATATTCTCTCTCGTTGAAATCTGACTGTGACGTCATATTCTAATGTTCCCGTGACATGACCTCCAGGGGAGCAAATAAAATGTATCGATTTGTCGCGTATTCCGAAATCGACCACAGCGCAGGTTATAATGGAGCATGAAGCGAAATCTGTCCTTACCAATGGTTTCCACGACCTTGAGTCTTCCGGTGTCATTGACGTCCCCCTCAGTGTTCTTGGCAATGCACGTGTAATCTCCCTCGTGTTTTTTTGCGATGTTCATCACCTGCAACCAACCAGTCACCTGGTTCTCCTCTGGTCCTCCACGAAGATTCATCGACACGTCTTTATCAGCTCCTATAAAGCCAAACCGGAAGTGAGATTATGGAAAGTTTGCCATCCTAGGATATCCTCGGAACTGATGTATTGTGGATGTTATGTGTTATTTTACGCACTACATCCTTAGTATAATACAATTTCTCAAAACTCACTCTTGATGGATGCCATCAGTGTTCTTATTAAATAATTACAGGATAGAGAATGTAAAAAGGGAGTTATATAATAAATCCTATATTACATAATTGTGCAAGCTTTTACAGTTTGGTGTTGACAAAATGTGGCATTTCCCTTTGTCTTAAACTACATTGCGTCTACCTGGCATATTGATTGTGGTTCCGTCTGCCCTTGTGAAGAGCCATAAGATGTAGGGGAGTGGATTTCCGGTGGCCTCGCATAGCATGGCTACGTCACTTCCGGTTCCGTTCACAATATCCTGGGGTCCACTGGTGATGACTGGCTTCGAAGCTGAAACACCCAAAGTTTTCAAATTTAGGTTATAGAAATAATATTAAGATCAAATAGAAAATCTGGAAACTAAGCCAAGGTAGAGACAAGATTTGTTGATGAATGCGAGTATCGACATTACAATAGTGTAAAAATAACAAAATACCAAAAACAAGATATGGATTGACTACCTGAAGTGCTGCAGAGTTAAAGACACTTTTGACATATCTAATCAGATATGTAGGATGTCCTAAAGGTCATTGATACACAACCAACAAAACACAAAATTTTGGGAAACACTAACGAACATTTCAATTAAAATTACAGATATTTTAAAGATTTAAATATTTTCAAACTTATGCTAGGTTTTTGGTGTGTCAGATTTATTTGGACTTATAACTCGCTCAGACAATCAAAACTTGTCCTACAAGTCACTTATAATTATAATCCCATCCTGCCAACAGACCTCCTCCTCCTCCTCCTCCTCCTCCTCCTCCTCCTCCTCATAACACCCCAGTCTATTACAACGTTTATATACTAGATCGGAAAATAATAGGTAGACATTCCAGACATGAACAGATGTAGTTGTATGCAGATGAATAGGTTATGATTGTCATAAAGAAATAAAGCAAATTTTGTTTTATTTTTAAATGAAAAGGTCTAGAACAGACATCTGGATTAGTTGAAGTTCTTCTGTCCGTGTAAGATATTAAGAATATCCCGACTAATGAGGTCCCACTGTCCATGTCACAGATATTCAAAGTAGACAGTCTGTCTGAAGTCAATTATTAATAAGATAATTCCCCAAACTCATCAGCGGCAGAGAAACAAATAAACCATTGCCACGGATTCTAGTCAGTTAAAACCCATTTTTTTGTGAGGCGGTGCCGACCTCCACTGTTTCTTACCCCAAACATCTGTAAAATATCAATCAAACCATAGCTACTGGAAACGTCAGCAGACGACGTGTGAACTTCCGGTCCACGTCACGCAGTACACTTCACATATATCCGGTGATTTTATTTATGGCTTTTAGCAAAGGGATCAGACAATATAATTTTTAACCTGTCCTTTATTCTTCAAACTGAACTAGGACGGGAAAGTAAACTAACTTCACCCCTTCCTATAGGAAATCATGAAACCGCTATTGTTATCAATAATAAACCTCATACAATGACTGTCTACTCCCGCAGTTTTGGACAGGGACCGGATAATTTGTTACTAACAAGTTTAGATAGGCCGGAGCACAGGGACCTGAGTTTTTGTTACAGTTGTGTTCAGAGTATAATATCAGGGTAATAACGAGTTTATAAATACCATCAGTGGGGGAGACGTTTTAACCAAAGGTTGATCGATATCTAATCCACAGATTTAGATATCTGATTCCGTGTCTAAACCCCTAAAACGTCGAATATTAACACGAACAAATCAGTTCAGATCCTAACAGTATGCTGTCACAACAAATTCGCGGGTCCCTGTGGGCCTCAGTATTGAGTTTCTTAATTATTTTACCAGTGGAAAAATTCACATTTTCAAAGTGTATGACTCGGTGGCGAGTGATGGTATTATGAATGAGATTAGTATGTCAGGAACAAACAGCTACACAGAGAGGCAGAATGGAGTTCTCATAATGAGTCATACATGTCGGACCACAGGCTTCGGTTGTTTGTTTATACAGAAAACCACATGTTGATCACGAGACTTCATCTTAAGGGCTCTGTTTCTAAAGGTTCTGTCAGCTTCCGCCGAATTTTAAACCAATATTTTGACAAAATACCTTGTATTTATATAAATAAGGTTGGGTAGTGTTTGTTTTGAGTCCTCACACCATTATCATAAATTGCGCAGTTTTATTCTCGATTTTTATTTCTTGGTCATAATCTGTTTTAAAAGTAAGCATGAACCCGTTAAGTTAACCATTCTTTCCGGCTATGTGTGTTGGAAGCGGTTTATGTTTTATTTAGTGGTCTTTTCTAAAGATTTAAGAATTAAAAGAAAATGTATCAGAATTAAGGAAAAATCCATGGGAATCGCTGAATTAGATATATATTTCCGTTGAAATGTATGTTGTTTACTCCCAGACCAGGTGACAAGGCACGTGAAAATTAACAACAAATATTATATACAGTGAAACCTTGCGTTACTGACAGTTACACCTGTCACGTTAGAGCATCGCTATGACATTATTCTATGGTTTCAAAACTTAGTTCCGAAAAATGTCTTTTATGATTTCTCAACGTCAGCAAATATTTATATCAAAGTATTAACTATTCTCCCAGCTTTTGTCAAAAGGCGATTGAGTATAAACCACACAAATGAAAATACATGTACACCATTAGGTCAGGCCCATGTTTGCCGACTCTCAAAAGACTTCTGATGGTTCCGGGTGCGTTCACTTCCCGGGTCTGCTGTAGTGTATGTACCTGTTTGCCCTAGTACCAATACATCGAAGTATATTCGTATCAATATTTGTATTAATAATGTAGTACAAGCCATCTACGTGAAAATCTACTTTATGATGTACTAATTCTGGATAAAAGCAACAAATAAATAAAAGATTTACAAACATTTAAACGTAACGTTACGGTACAACGGTTAACATCAGCGCAAAATCGAATACTGAGGGAATGGACTTATGGCGGAGGTAACGTACAAACATACCCGCTTCCAAGAATGACGCGTGATTGTTCCAATCAGGTTCCCCGTCGAGGGGCCCCTAAACCACCCTCTAGTTTCAAGTGGCCATCACCAAGATATTACTTTAATACCCTCCATATCTCATATATAAGTATGTACGTAATCGCTGATAACATAGATATGCGTCACTATAGCCATTTCCAGAACCCCACGTCGGACAATCCAAACTGATTGACAGAATGTTACCCGCACACGCGACATATTTTATCTACCATATTAAATCAAAATATCGGTACCTCGAGCAATGTATTTTTCAAATTGTGTTGGTTTGTTTTTGTACAGCGAGGTTAAAAAAAAACCGGAAGTTAATATCATTTTATAAAACTAAATTAATTTGTCTTTGACCACTTCTTCCGGCCAGACAGCTCTACACACAAACAATGGAAATGTTAGTGGCATCTATCTTGGATTTTGTTTTTATTTTGGATGTTGGTGTGGTGTGCTCCTGCAGTGTTTTTTTTAAATGAATACATTAATATGTAAATAAATATATAAACATGTATTAAAATATGAAATAAGATCTTGCTGAGAGTATATGTTTAAAACTTTTACCTGATGTTTCTGTTTTGCATTTTCCGAAACTTTTGACGATGACGACTTCATCCCGATTGCCGTTCTCCTGGTAGAGCTGACACAGGTTGTCATATGTAAGGCCGTCCGATCCACAAATGACCTCTTGATTCACACAGGTACACTGGCCGACGTTATCATCAACAGGAGAGCACGTGAGGTAGTCCCCACACTCCCCGTACTGGTGGGGACGATTGGGCAGGTCACATGGTTGTAACTCATGCTGCATACACACCAGACAACAATTGCAGTGGTCCCTCTTGTAGTTGGCCAGACATTTTGATGTGTCCAGGGCTGGACACTCGTTCCTGTTACATTCACCGCACTCTTCCTCGGCCCATACCGCCGCACAAAGAAGACACAACACCCCAAAATATTTCATCGAAACACCCATGATAATCCTTATAGAGGTTCCGAAACAAGGCTTTTTGGAAAAACAAAGGATTCGATTCCCACTTGTGCTGGTTATGACCTGGTCAACGTTAGCATCAGTTCCGGGCCGAAGTTAGGATGTACCAGCTGAGCAGTGTAACTCGAAACGTTTTCCCAAGGAGGGGGCCTAGTGCATGAGGTGTTTACAGAATATGTAGTGAAGAGATTCATGAGGTGTTTACAGAATATGTAGTGAAGAGATTTGGAATAGGGGCGCCCATGGGTGCAGGACCACACGGATTATGGTATTTTATCCCCGCTACTTACATTTCGTATAATAAACTATCGCAAAACCCATTAAACAATTTGTTTCATAGTTATGATTCATTATTACAATTAATTGGAGACGAGGTAATTAAAAATAAATGCCAGTTATATTTTCTTTATCAGGACTTTGAGAAATCCCCTATGCGCCCCCCGCGGGGGGTTTCATCTGACTTATGTCAGGGTGTCTGATGTGTACGTACAACGTTCTGCTGTATTGCTTGAGACGGACCGGTCCTTGGACTTATCCATTCCCTAAGTACAGGGGTGCAAACAACAGTTATCTCTTTATTTATATCGGAAATGAAAATGTTGTATTGGTATGCAGTCGACGGCTCCATAGTGGGCCACGTCTTACGTACGTGATGACGCGAAGTACTACCGTAGACCCATGCGAACCAAAACTGTTCACATGCCAAGCTTGTGAGCGGTGTACTTGTAAGCAATATACTGTCCAATCATATACTAAGTATATACTTTTAACATCTGAAATATAGCGTGCATCACCAGTCTGTAAACTCAAATACATACATACTTATTGTGTACGCTTTTCCCTAGAACAAAACCATACTTGTTTATTCGATCTAAGCCTTTGGCTAAACAATATATATATTTACTTACAACTTTAATCTCCGTTACGACATGCCATTTCTGTATTTAGTTGACGCTGGGGAAATTATAAACGGAAGTAATCGGAAATGCTGAACGTACGTATTTGAAGTGTTGTCTGAAATAAAACAAAATAAAAAAATAAAAAAGCAACTCATCAAGCCATTTCCAAACACACGTAAAACTGTATATATACAGCAAATTATTCTGTTAAATCATAAACATGTTAAAGATAAACATAATAAATAAAAACGTAACGTGTTTTAGTTTGAATTATAATCAAGTTTTACCTCAGCGGTGCATTGTGAACAGATTTTACAGTAGGAAGATTATAATTATTACTTATTCTTTGGTTTTCAGTAAACACTAATAATGAAATATGTTTAAATATATTTGCTTTAATTATCATAGTCCGACTTCAGCCTGACTAAAATGTAAATAAAATAAAAGATGATAACAAGTGCAAACACGTGTCGACCTTCCCCAATCAAATACGAAATCGAAACATCTCTGACAGCTTCATCAAAGCAGATAACAAATTAAAGGTCGACTAGCTAACTCCGCTAAAGTACGGAATCAATCGCCACCAATCTCGGCCAACGCTGTCACTATTCGGAATCTATGCCGTTTGACGGAGTTGCCCGGGAAATTGTTGAACATAAATAACTGTAAAAGAGCTTATTTAAGGCACGCAAATTTTAGTTTAATATATATTTTTTGTAACGAATGGGTACATTGATGAATTGGCGCGCCAACAATATAGCAATATATAAAGCATTATACAGAAAATTTCATTAATGTAGTTATAAATTTGCGCAATATTTGAATTTTGAAATAAAAACAAAAACTCAAAATAAGTACTTAAACCACGGACTAAGATAACTAAGTCCGTGCTTAAACAGAACTCATAGCATACAACAGAAAAAATGGATTTATAATTACAATCAGCTGAACAATCGGTGCCGAATTGTTTGACTTGTTACGGTCGACACGATATCGCTCGTAACAGAATTGTTGGACTTGGTACGGTCGACGAGATATCGCTCGTAACAGAATTGTTGGGCTTGTTACGGTCGACACGATATCGCTCGTAACAGAATTGTTGGACATGTTACGGTCGACACGATATCGCTCGTAACATAATTGTTTGACTTGTTACGGTCGACACGATAACGCTCGTAACAGAATTGTTGGACTTATTACGGTCGACACGATATCGCTCGTAACAGGATTGTAGGACTTGTTACGGTCGACACGATATCGCTCGTAACATAATTGTTGGACTTGTTACGGTCGACACGATATCGGTCGTAACAGAATTGTTGGACTTGTTACGGTCGACACGATCTCGCTCGTAACAGAATTGTTTGACTTGTTACGGTCGACACGATATCGCTCGTAACAGGATTGTTTGACTTGTTACGGTCGACACGATATGGCTCGTAACAGAATTGTTGGACTTGTTACGGTTGACACGATATCGCTCGTAACAGAATTGTTTGACTTGTTACTGTCGACACGATATCGCTCGTAACAGAATTGTTAGACTTGTTACGGTCGACACGATTTCGCTCGTAACAGAATTGTTTGACTTGTTACTGTCGACACGATATCGCTCGTAACAGAATTGTTAGACTTGTTACGGTCGACACGATTTCGCTCGTAACAGAATTGTTTGACTTGTTACTGTCGACACGATATCGCTCGTAACAGAATTGTTTGACTTGTTACTGTCGACACGATATCGCTCGTAACAGAATTGTTGGGCTTGTTAAGGTCGACACGATATCGCTCGTAACAGAATTGTTTGACTTGTTACGGTCGACACGATATCGCCCGTAACAGAATTGTTGGACTTATTACGGTCGACACGATATCGCTCGTAACAGAATTGGTGGACTTGTTACGGTCGACACGATATCGCTCGTAACATAATTGTTTGACTTGTTACGGTCGACACGATATGGCTCGTAACAGAATTGTTGGACTTGTTACGGTTGACACGATATCGCTCGTAACAGAATTGTTTGACTTGTTACGGTCGACACGATATCGCTGGTAATAGAATTGTTGGACTTGTTACGGTCGACAGGATATCGCTCGTAACAGAATTGTTTGACTTGTTACGGTCGGCACGATATCGCTCGTAACAGAATTGTTGGACTTGGGACGGTCGACGAGATATCGCTCGTAACAGAATTGTTGGGCTTGTTACGGTCGACACGATATCGCTCGTAACAGAATTGTTGGGCTTGTTACGGTCGACACGATATCCCTCGTAACAGAATTGTTGGACTTGTTACGGTCGACACGATCTCGCTCGTAACAGAATTGTTTGACTTGTTACTGTCGACACGATATCGCTCGTAACAGAATTGTTAGACTTGTTACGGTCGACACGATTTCGCTCGTAACAGAATTGTTGGACTTGTTACGGGCGACACGATATCGCTCGTAACAGAATTGTTGGGCTTGTTAAGGTCGACACGATATCGCTCGTAACAGAATTGGTGGACTTGTTACGGTCGACACGATATCGCTCGTAACAGAATGGGGCTTCCAACTGCTTAAATAAAGCTGTCAACCCATCTTATATCTAAGTACATAATTGTTTTTTGACATGTGACACATCATTCCTTCTAGTATTTTAAGCGTTTTACCCCTGTCATGTTTCTCGTTCATCCAGTCGCCACTGCAGATTTGCGGATAAAATCTGTCTATCCTGTCACTGCATACTATCGTAAGGGTCGGTTAAAGAGTCGAAGGTTTACTTCAGCTTGGGGGACACTGAAGAAACAAACCTGGGTCTGTTGCCTATTAGAACCCCTGGGACCTTTTCTTTTCTCATAAATCTACGTTTCCTTCCTATAACCTTGGCTGATTAAACCTATACAAACAATTATTCTACTGATAAATAGCCCTTTACATGTCAATTAAGCCACGGACTTAGATAATTCCGCGATTAAGCGATCACAGACATTCCGTGACTCGTGACTTGTTATTCTACATTTCCGGTACTAGTTCTTTTAATTTTGATCAGTGACTTGTTATTCGAAATCCCCGGTGCTAGTTTATTCTCCCACCCTTCACAGGCGTGTTTCCCGTTTTAGCCGGGAAAGATCAGCTTGTCACCCCCTAGCTATAGGGGGAGATAGCCTCGTGCCGATTAGCACGAGTTGAATTGTGACGTCATTAAAATGCGTCATCGGTAATTGTGACGTCATCAAAGGTGAATGACGATATGCATACCCCACATGTGTTTTTGTTTACAAACATGGCAGACTACTGTCGGTGGAGCTGTGACTGAAATAATAGCATGGGAGAAAAATAATCATCCCCTACCCTGAGGACGTAACAGAGAAATCTCTAACCCTCGGGGTGATTTTTTTTAGTTGTCTAACAAACAAAAAACATTACCCCTCGGGTTGGAGATTTCTCTGTCACACCCTCAAGGTAGGGGACGTCTATATTAATCAGCGACATGTTATTCGACACATCAGGTGCTAGTTTATTTAGTCACGTGTTGTTTATACGACACATCAGGTGCTAGTTTATTTAGTCACATGTTATTCGACACATCAGGTGCTAGTTTATTTAGTCACGTGTTGTTTATACGACACATCAGGTGCTAGTTTATTTAGTCACATGTTATTCGACACATCAGGTGCTAGTTTATCTAGTAATATGTAATTCCACTCTTTCAGTGCTAATTTATTCAGTGATATGTAATTCCACACTTCCTGTGCTAGCTTATTCAATCACATGTTATTCGACACTTCCGGGGCTAGTTTAGGCGGCCATCTTGGATTTTGATATTTCATTTTTTTTATTTATCGTTGTTCCTCTAGAATTATTGGATAGATCTTCTCAGATCCCATACGTATGTTCTGCTTAGTCAGCAAATGTGCATGTTTCATTTTTATAATGATTGGAGAAACAAGATGGTAGCCATCTTGGATTTGATATTTCAAGTTTGGTGTACATTGCTATTGTTTCTCCCAAATATCATATAGGTTTCTCTCTTATGCATTGTACTCGGCGGGTTTCATCCAATATTTGGACCCAAATGAAATTCTTTCTGGACCAATAAACACCTCTATTTTCATCCGTTAAGAAATTATACTCCAGACAAGAGCCTGTTTACAGAGGAGGAGTGGATTGGCAGACTGACAGACAGACAGACAACACATTACGACTCCATACAATTACTGTTCCAGTGAAATAACAAGTACATACAAGTTGGTACTATGATATTCTTTAATAGAGAGATTGGCATATCAAAAC